TGAAATTACCATAAACAATTTTATCTTTCATTTTCTTAATTACTTTGTACTACTTTCCTTTTCTTATTTAAATCATATGTTAAATACAACCTTTAAATTAAAAAAAACAATCATTAATGCACATTTTTAATATAAATTTTATTAATAATTCATTTACATATTTATTATTACTTTAATAATTTTTTATTAGATCGCTATTAATAAAATAAAATAGAATAATAAAAAAGAATTGAATGGGATGGATTAAATCGATGGTGATTGGAACTATCTAGGTATGAAAATAGGTCGGGTCGGGGCGTGTTTTGACAAACCCGACCCGCATATAATTTACCCTGCCCTAACTCGACCCATTACCTGATTAGTGAACCTCAGCTCAGGTTCAAGATGAGTTTTACCCAACGAGTTATCGGGTCTCCGTCGAATAAATGGGTAGCCCGAATTCTCAAATTTGGATTTACCCGATCCCAACCTATCCGACTCGCTTAATGTTAAAAAAATAATTAAATAATTCTACCACCAAATGTAATGTAACTAATAATTTATTAACTAAATTTGACTATAAAATTACTATAAAAAGATTATATATTATTTTTTAAAATAAATAACGAGCTATAGTTATTTATTTTTATACTCTATTAATAACATAAATATTTAAAAGTTAAGTATTTAATTTTTTATTGTACAACTAAATGAAAAATTGATAAAAAGAAACAGAAAAAATAAAATAAAATTTAAACCATTTACCGAAATTATAATAAATAATTTAATTTTTATTTATAATATGATATATGCATGTCGGCTAAATTAGTTTTTTAGTCCCAAATCGGACCCCGCTCGTGATTTTGGTCCTAAAAAACTTGCGTTGAAATGGTCCTATAAGTGAAAAAAAAATTGTTTTATGGTCCTCTTACCGCCTATAGCAGGTCAGAATTACCGGTTTGCCTACGTGGAAATTCTCTCTTTTTTTTTGTGCGGAGTTGTAAGATTACGTGGCCGATTAATTATGTGGGATAAATGCAATTGGCCACAGGGAGATTCGAACCTTGCACCTCTTGTGCAAACCAAACCACATCACCCACTTGATCTACAAGATAATAGATAAATAAAGTGACCTGAAAATAAATATGTATCTACAATTCAACATCATTTTAACTAGTGATAATATAGTTTATCAATTGTGTGGATGTTATTTTATTTCTCCCTCTAAAAATTTCTCTCCCCCAAGTCAAATAAAACCTAGTTGTCAGTCTTCCTCCATCGTCATGTGCCTCCTCCGCGCGGGGCGCTCCGCGCGGCCGTGCTGTTTTGCCGCCTCAGGTCTGTGCCCCAGGCCTTTCATCGAGAGGAGATTTCGCGATAGTTTGGTCGTTCGCTGGGATTTGATGTTCCAACGAGCATTCGACTGTGTGAGGTCCTCCGGAGTCTTGACGGCGGGGCTGGGGGCATGCTCCGATTTCTACCGGGCGGAGGTCGGAGTAGAGGTGAGTTCCCTTTCTCCCCTTTTTTCTTGCTTACCTGGTGCTGGTAGTTAGTCCTCGGCCGGTAAGTGGTGGGCAATCTCCAGGAGCTGTTCAGCTTTTTTAGTCGGTGTTCGTCGAGGGGTTGGAGCTTGGGGCTTACGTGGTGCTCTGCTCTCCCCTGGTTTTCCTGTTTCTCTGAGATTGGTAGATAGGCTGCACCGTTGAGGAAGGTCGCGGGCCCAGGTTTCGTTGTTGTCTGTTGGTTTGCGGCCGGAGGGGGTGTGCTGGGGCTGACCTCCGTTTTGACTGGTTCGTGGGTGTCTGCCTGGCAGAGTTTTCGGGGTGGAAATACTGGATCTTGTTAGGTGTTTTCTGCAGTTTCAGGTCTTGGTGCTTTGGCTTAGTTTGCTATCCGTGTGGGTGGGTGCTTGCGGTGGTGAGTGGTGAGATTTTTGCGGAGTTTGCTCACCTGTTGTGGAGGAGGGCTCTTGTTTGTATTTTTGTTTTGTTGTCGTTTTGTTCGTATGTTTTGTTTGTTTCCCTCTCCGTTGCTTGGTACTTACGAAGTTGATGACCGCTCCAATTAGGTTTCGATCCCATACTGGTTGCCAATTTGGGTGAAGGTTGATCGTCTCTCGAGGTGTCGTGGCGGAGTGGTTTGTAGTGTGTTTTTATTGTGTTCTTTTTATGTTGGTGTATTCTCTCGTAGGGGAACGTGTATTCTCCGGTAGTGGAGCATGTATTCTTCTGTAGGGGAGGTTTTTTATTCTCCAGTTGTGGAGCTTTGTGAGTGCGTTGTGAGCAAAAGTAGCTTCTAGGCGATATTCGGATCTGTCCTCCCACTAGATTCAACTCAAGAGTTGTCTTATTCAGTTGTCAGACTGTTCTATTAAATTTCTATAAATTCGAAAAAAAAAAATATATTGTGTGGATATTGAGTGATTCCAACTCGTGACAATATCAAGGTATATCAAGAATGGTAACCAAACGCACCCTAAGAGTACGACCCCAAAGCTTTACATCCATTAGCAAAGAGATAACTTTTACATTTAAATCACAACAATCTTATGTCAACCAACCATATATTTGAACATCATATGATGATTATAGTAATCATTCAACAGTTATTACTATCAGATACATAAACTTGTCCACAGTAACATACTGTAATACGAATCCTTCAAACTGAAATTTACATCAAAAACTCAGAAATACAACACGGAAGACCCATTTGCTTTTGATCTTCCCTCTCACACCGATCGAAAAGGTCTTTAACACCGAATTAATAACTAGTCACCCACTCTTAAACAACACTTATTTCGATCGTCCCTTTACTCGTGGCACGATCTCAGTTACAAACCTTACTGCACTCGCCAGTTGACGGGGATATCTTCATCCATGGCACACTAACATCGAGGCTCCTTTTCATTTCTTTCTTTTGAGGCCCAGAAAACTCGTTATTCTCACTACAACCCCTCTTCTTCTTCACCACCACCCCAAACAACTTCATACAATTCTCGTCTTCGCCATTGTCATCACAGTCAATGTTTCCACAGCTATCAGCCAGCTCATCATCATCTCCACCGGACATGATGCGGGTGATATGCTCCGGCGCCACCTTGACGCACCGTGTGAGTAAAGCTATCAACTCGTCGCACTTCCTTTTGGCGTGGGCGAGTTCAAAGCTCAGGATTTGATTGTCCTTCCTCAGTTTCTCGTTCTCGCCAGATAAATCGGCCAGCTGGGCCGAGGCCTGGGTCTCGGCCGAGCTGGGGTTTTTGGAATCATGGGATGAGGTGGAGCTCGATCCAAGATCCTCGCCAGAGTTCGCCGGCGAAGCGAGGTTACTGGCGGCGGCGACGGTCTTAGTCGTCGAGGGAGCGGCTTTCCGACGACGGATGTGGACGAGGAGATCCTTCTGCCCTCGTTTGAAGTTCTCGTTCGCGAATTCCCATTTGTCGGGTACGGTTTTGCGAAAACCCTAGGAAAAAAAGGGAAGTTGGGTAACATATACTGTTCATTACAGAACAAAATTGAAATATGATATGTACGTAATAGTCTCCTCAATTTGCTGCCTTGCAAATTGTGTTAAAACAAAATTTTCGTTACAAAAATCGAATAATCAGTATTTTTTATTTAATTTTTTTTTTTTTTTTTTTTTTTTTTTTTTTTTTTTTCTGGTACTTGTAAGTCAAGGCATCACGAGACAGGCACATGCGCTCTGGCACCCAAAAGAAGACTTTTTAGTTAATCATCATCGTGGGTAGACGCACATCACCTAATTTACGCATTAGCCGTAATTTATGACATAAAAATCAACTTTTAACTGTGCCTTTTGAGTTTTAACTTTTAACCCATGTGCGATGGTAAATCTGACCTCGCAAGTCGCAAGAAGGATCAATTTGGTAAACAGAAAACATTTAACCTGTAAAATATAGTAATATTTAATACGTATAAATTGAAAATATGGTGCATTTCTTTAATATTACTACTATTATTCAACGATATAGTTTATGCTTTTAAGGAAATTAGTATTCGACCTGTGCATTTGCACATATATATAAATAAAATATTGTGAGTTATTCGTATGCACATAATGGTTAATGTTTTTTGCCAAACTTACAATTAAAGGAGTTGATTTTTTTTTTTTTTTAAATTGTGTTTATCATATTGGATGTAATGTATAGTTTGATATGTATTTTTTTTTTTGGGAATTATTTATTATTTGTTTAGGGATTTCAAATACGTTTTTTATTTTTCAAAAGAAGTTAATTTAAACATAACCACAACAATAACATCTAATCACGTTAAATAGTTAACAAATTATATGGTCAACCGTTTGAATTGATTAGTGTGTTGATTATCTAATAAATAAATAAGATGTTAAATAAAAAGTAACAGTGTTTGGGGAGAAAAAATTTATATTGCCACATAAGTATAATTTAATAGGTTTTATTAAATGCTCATCGGCCAACAATTATATATATATAAATTGATCAATTAAAATTGCAATAGAAATTTTGTATACTAAAGCATTTACTTAATGCATATATATGAATCCTTGTTACTTTGTTTGGTACGTGTGAATTGAAATACTAAATTATATAAGAGCCCTGAATATTTAAAACTCTTTCACAAAGAAAACTAGAAGAAGATGGAAGTTTCTTGTCTAATTCAATTAATTAATTCAACTATATCGGCGCTTAATTATAGCGTCTCCATTTTCCTACCTCACTCTTATTACCATTTTTAATTATATCAAAGACAAAACGAGGCCAAGTTTCAATTATGTTAATAAATAGAAAATTATGGAAATGTTAAGAGTCCGGTTACAGAACCATTTCATCGGAGTTTGTCTCCGTCAAATCAACATGTAATCGTCAAAAATTATTGATCTAACGGTTACAAACCACGACAGAATGATTCCGTAAAGAAATTGTACCACCTTCCAAAAAATTAAACCAGGTGTTACCTAAGATTGGTTTTGCTTCTATTTGATATTTGCTTAGCTAGCAACCACCACACACTTTTATGTAAATGTTGATACATTTTTATTTATTTATTTATTTATTTATTAAGCATGTATAAGGAAATATTAAAAAATACTCAATTGATTGATAGGCCCAACCGGCCAAGAATCATCTATTGCTATAAGAGGTTCGGGAGATGGAATTAATATAGAACCCATAATAATATATCGAAATTCTTATTAAAATTATAAATAATCTTAATTTATAAAAAAATGGACACAAAACTTAATTTGGCTATTTAGAATATTGTATATTAAATGTAACTAATTGTTGCAGAAAAGACATTTTAAATAATCTTCCCAGCTGCATACTGTTTATTAATATAATTCAATTTTTATATTTTAAAGATTTATAATTTATCATTCCATGAAATTATATAATTAAGTTAGACAACTTAGATATAGTTCAAAAAATACAATCTTGTAGGGAATTAGGGTCTGCCTGTTTATAGATAAATTAGTATTTGATAGATTTTTTTTAATCATAGTTAATTTTAAAAATTAGTATTATTAATTTTTAGTGAAATTCTAAATAATATTTAAAATAAATTAATTTGAATTGATTTGATATAAAAATAAAAGACAGATTATTGTTAAAATTATGTGAATTGATGAATAGTGAATTAAAGTTAAAATAATATGTAAGAATGATTGACAGTACTATTTAATCAGATAATATTATTGAATATAACGAGAGGTTTGAGTAATATTTTGATTTGAGATTGACTTTTTTGTTTTGAGTTTTTTTTTTTGCTCAAACAAACCCTTGAATAAGGCATTCAATGCTGAAAAACTAGGTTACTACATTTAAATTATTGTTTTTACTTGTCATTTAAATAGGTTTTTAATAAAAATATATTATATTTTTATTTATGTTATTTCATGAACTAATACATTATATATTTATTTATTACTTCCATAGAAAGAGGCTTTACAATTCATTCACAACACCAAAAATGTACCTATGCGTAAAACGAGCGCAAAATCACATAATAATAATAATAATAATAATAATAATAATAATAATAATAATAATAATAATAATAATAATAATAATAATTAAAAAAAAAAGAAGAAGAAGACTTACATAGGTATTGAGCTGACGAACAAAGCTGGAGAAATTGTTGTGCTTGAAATAATTCGGCAGCAAATCCTTTGCAAACTCCGCCGTCTTCCAGACCACAAACGCCGTGCCGGTCTCGTTCCACGAAACGACGTCGTCACTCCCCCGATCGTCGACCAGATTGTAAGTCTTCGTCAGAAACGGCGCCGGCACCGACCTCTGCGCCATTTTTTTTTTTTTTTTTTTCTAATTAAACTATAGAGCTAGCGTGTAATTGGACTAATTAATTTGATTGATTTTGGGGGAAAAAAAAATGGAAATTATTATTTTAGCAACTAAAGAGCAGAAGGGCAGTGAGGAATTCCCAATCCCAGCAGTAGAATCCGAAGAGGAAAACGCGAGAATGGGCGATAACGTGTTTTGGGAGCTTAGCGACTTCTTCTTCCATTGGTTTTCTTCTCATCATCTTCCGATTTGCTTATTATTATTATTATTATTATTATTATTATTATTATTATTATTATTATTATTTCCCCATAATAACAGATCATAACTTTCTCTCTCTACCTCTCTCTCTCTCTCTCTACAGGTGAGGAGAAGAAATATGAACTGCTTTTCGCTTTCTCTCTCTCTTTTGTATTACTTTT